CAAAATTCGGGGCGTATCGATCGAGACATCTCAGTAACGATCGGATTTTGGTCGTTACCGCCCGTACAAATCCCGTATCGCCCGATATGGGGTCAAAACACTAGTACCGTCGGTCTAGGACGGTCCGCATACTGATATCCTCTTGGACCAATACGTACCACCCGTATCGAGCAGTATACATCGAAATTAAGAACCCTGATTTAGTGTCATCATAACATGTATTCATAATTATTATGTATTACTATATATTAAAGATCTTGGCTTCTTGTCTCTTTTTCAGGTTATGTGAAGGAGGAGAATTGTTGGATAGAATTCTTTCTAGGTACTTTATGAGCCAGTTGTGCAATTTAAATTGTTCATATATTCACATTTTTGTTATCTGTTTCTGTAGATATTAATTTTCTCTTTGCCACAAATCATATGACTTATGCATATTCTTGTTCCTTGGATAGGGGAGGGACATACTTGGAGAATGATGCAAAGGCTGTCATGTTACAGATATTGAATGTAGTTGCATTTTGCCATCTCCAAGGAGTGGTTCATCGTGATCTGAAACCAGAGGTAACACAGATTTTCTTAGGGAAAATTCTGGTTGTATATGGTAGAGATTTGGGGTAATGAATTAAGAGAATGTGAGCTAGAAGGTCAACAAGCACTTTTGCATACCATTTTTCCATATAAATATGTACTAGTTATCAACAATTGACGTATCAGCGGTCATGATACTACTTATCTTTTCATAGATGTCCATAATAGCCCTTAAGAATGATCCCATCACTTTGTATGAGATCTTTCCATTATGCATATGTTGGTGTATTACTGTACATTCTGTTGATCATGAGTGTTCTTTCAAGATAATGTTTCGACTATAGTGTTTCCAAGTTCTTCTTGTCATTGATCTCTGCACTTATTAGTCCATTTAGGAAGGTTGCATATTACCAGTCGGACTGTAATTTACCATCCAATGGCCTGTACCAGCGTATATTGAAGTGATCCTTCTTGTCATCGATTTCTGCACTTACTAGTCCATTTAGGAAGGTCTCAAATGCCTATTGGGACCAGTATGTACCAACCACCGGTCAAAATTTTCAAGTAGATCTTTGATGAGAACACTGAAAATGGTCATCCAAATGATTGGCATTTTAGTAAGTTAATATTGCAGGATGTATATTGCTTCATTAAGAAAAAGATAGAAAAAACCACCTAGGGTCTAAAATTTATTTGTCAGGTCAAGTCTCATTATACTATATTATTCATATCTGCTCATTCTATAATGAGCTTATATTCTTTGATAAAGTTTTCTAGAAATTATTGTGAGGATAATTTGCTTACTTATTGGAAGCCTTTGTTAAGTTTACTTATTTCTATCTTCGTTACTGCAATAGTGGTTCTTACTGTCCATGAGAGTTTGCAACTTTATATGACTTTCCTTCTTCCACTATTGTTTGTTATTGCATTTAGCCCTTTAAATGGTTGTTTTATTTTTGTTTATTTTTATATGTAATATTTTTTAAAAAAAATGTTTTTCCCTTTTTGTCAGAACTTTCTTTTTACTTCAAAGGATGAGAATTCCCAGCTGAAGGCTATAGATTTTGGCTTATCAGATTTTGTAAAGCCAGGTTAGTTATTAATGTTTGCCAGCCAGAAGTTCTCCTTGTTAGTTATATTTCAACTGTTCATCTGATATGTCAATCTAGATTGCACTTGAACAAGGGGCATTTGTGCTTTGTAGATGAAAGGTTGAATGACATTGTAGGAAGTGCATATTATGTTGCACCTGAAGTTCTACATCGATCTTACAGCACAGAAGCTGATGTGTGGAGTATTGGTGTAATTGCATATATTCTTCTCTGTGGAAGTCGCCCCTTTTGGGCTCGAACTGAGTCTGGCATCTTTAAGGCAGTCTTGAAAGCTGATCCAAGTTTTACAGAGCCACCTTGGCCTTCTATGTCTCCTGAGGCAAAAGATTTTGTCAAGCGCTTGTTGAGTAAAGATCCACGTAGAAGAATGACTGCTGCACAAGCTTTGTGTGAGTCTCTTTATGAGTTCTTAAGTTATGATATCGTTGTCTTGTTTTTCTGAATAATTAATTACTTCCTGATTGCAGGCCATCCTTGGATTAGAAATTACAATGATATCAAAGTTCCTCTAGATATCCTTGTATTTCGATTAATTAAATCTTACCTCCGCTCATCATCTCTGCGTAAGGCTGCTTTAAGGGTGGGTACCAGTTGATACTGCCATAGGGCATATAACATTCATTTAGATCATTCAACTTGCATGTGATTCGAAATGCATGACTTGCATGTTTGATGTAATTCCAATCCTGTTGCTGCATTTGGTAAAAGATTTGGAGTACTTTGAGTTGGCTGACATTGAGTTCCAATGCCACTTATGTATTATGGTGTATTAATAGTCAGTCAGTATATTTCACTGTCAAATTTAATTTATTGTGCATTCCAGTCTTCTAGGTTTCTGGTAAGCAGGTATTTTGCTCCAATTTACCAGTTTGATGATTATTGGCATTTTTGATGACCAGGACTGCAGATTTGCAACAAACCCTCTCTTGCAGCTAAATAGTCTAGAAGTATATTTACTTCTCAGTCAAAAGCTTAGAATTTCCAAAATCATTTCCATGTGTTTGTGTATTTGAATTTCCAACCTGGCTGTATGATTATGTATCCAAATGATTTGCGATAAATAAGCGAAATTTTTTTTATGAATGAAACAGGCTTTGTCAAAGACATTGACAGTGGATGAACTGTTTTACCTGAAGAGACAGTTTGCTCTATTGGAACCTACGAAACATGGGAGCATAAATCTTGAAAATATCAAGATGGTTAGTTTTTAATGCTCCTCATATCTTTAGAGAAGGAATAGTATCTCAAGTTGGAATCGCTAGTTGTTGTTTTTTAATACTGAATTTCAATCCTTGATCAGGCCTTGATGAAAAATGTGACCGATCAAATGAAGGAATTGCATGTCCAGGATATTCTTGTCTCGGTATGTGCAGACTTTTAGCTGCAAACCTTTTCCCTTATCATGTCATCAAACCTATAGTTTGTATATCACATAGAACACTATCTCTCAATTTGCCAGCTCGGTGCTCTACAATACAGAAGAATGGATTTCGATGAGTTCTGTGCAGCAACATTAAGTGTGCATCAGCTTGAAGGTCTAGATAGATGGGAGCAACATGCCCGATGTGCTTATGAGCTTTTCGAGAAAGATGGAAATCGAGCTATTGTAATCGAGGAACTGGCTTCGGTATGCACATTTTTTATACTCCTTTTGCATGTTATATCACTGCTGGATACCTAAGACCTATATAAGCTTTGATATAACTGTCATAGCTTGAGGTGTTAGGCTTGCAGAATTGCTTCCCATCATCTGCTATCAGTTTGCCTATATTGGCACAAGATCAGCACGGCATGTTGCTAACCCGCATAGGGGTATGCCTAGAAAAATATTCCTTGGCTCCAAGTATAAATATTTCTCCATAAGCATAAGCATATGTAGAAGGGCCCTGAATAGCTGTATGATTGCACATATTAACTATATCAATCACTTCTTCATGCTATTTCAGAAATAACAGTGTTGTGTGCATGGATAGTTGGTAAAAAATTCTTATATTAGTCTGATGTATTCGAGGATAGGAATTAACAGATTAACATACCTTGCATGAATACATTGCCTTGACACTTAAAACTGGAGTAATTCTGCTATTAGTTATAGCTTCTTTAGTGATATTTTCTTTTCTCCGATGTTAATCCTTCTTCTTTGCAGTTACCATGTAATCAGATTCTTTCTTGGCTTCTCTGAGCTTTTTTTATTTTTTGTAATTACAGGAACTCGGCCTCAGCCCTTCTGTACCTGTACACGTGGTTCTGCGTGACTGGATAAGACACACAGATGGGAAGCTGAGCTTCCTCGGATTCGTTAAGTTGTTGCATGGTGTGTCTAGTCGATCGGCCCAATCACTTGCAAAGGCACGATAGATGTTGCTTACGCATCTTTGATCAGTTCACGATCCATCAGTTTGGCTTGGATGGATGATTAGCTATAGATGTCCGGTGCCAAGTTGTTTTGGTAGAAGTGCTTTCAGGACACTGCAGTAGCAGATGAACTCAAAAAGTTATTGGGGATAAGGTCCGCTCGGCAAAAGTCTGGAACCTACTCAATGTCTTCCAATCCCATAGTCATGGAGGAATCAGATCAATCCAATCCTGTGGTCTGTAATCTCATTCCAATGTAAAAAGGTCATGAGCATTGTTGCTGTTGTAGCACTGGTTAAACTTGGTGAGCTCATAGTACTTTTTAAGTTGCGGTAGGTCAGATCTTCACCAGTAAAATTGTGCCGTGAATTCAAATTAGGCTACTGAGTGGGGGAAAAAAAGGTCAAACTGCTGTTTTCTAATGCCAGCGTCGAGGTCTCGAGTTAAGGTGACGAAAATGGTTTCTTTGTGTGTAGCCACTGCTTCAGTTTTAACTACTACGCACGCACTTTGCATTACATTTTTGTATTATACTTGAGAAGAACCATCATGAACAATCTCTCTTGGTAGAAAAATGAGTGTTGTTTGTCATTTCTCCTCGTTCTGCAGTCGGTCTGTTGGTCGCTCGCCTGTGAGTACTGTAGTTACTATTGGAATCTATTGTAAGCTGTTGTTAATTAGATCTCTCAGAGCAAAAGTAAATTCATGAATGTCTGCTTATCCATGAATGTCTGTTTCCGGGGTCCACTTGGTGACCTTTTCTTTTAAGTTCCCAAGGATTTATATGTAAAGATGATTGAGGATGCTTGTGCCGTTTAGGAAAGATACTTTCTATCGACGAGTTAAGAAGATAAGCCTTCTATTAAACCCTGTGATAATGATGAATGTTACCTCTTTTCTCTCACTTGTGGCATTCTACCATTTGCTTTGTAATGTACACTCTGGAGAGAATGATGAACTTGCTGAGCTCCACAATGTATTTACAGGCTAAAGACAATAATTAAGTTATGTAAAGTTCTTCAGTGCATTCCTGTTCCTTGTTTCAGGTCAGTGTAGTACATATATATACACAAAAAAATGCACAGAAGATGGGTGTCTAGCTGACCATTCTTTTTTACAGTTCTTGTTCATCCCGAAGAATGTGTTTCATTCAGTTTGCAAACACAACTCAAATTTAGCAGAGAATAGCTTCATTTGCAGATTTCACAGGATGCCAAGCCGCAAATGGCTACAGCAAAACTTGCTTGAACAAAAAGAAACTGTGCTGCCTCTTACAATTTCTGGTATCAGATTTTTCCATGTAACTCTTGCTTCCTTCTCAGCAAATTAGTGCCTAAGGAGGCAAAAAACACAATGTACTTCATAGCTGAAAAGTTTACAGAAAGAAAATGAAGGAGAAAAAAATATGGTACAACAAAAGAACCTTTTGGCGTTGATGGTGAACTCTTAAAGCTTCTAGAATGCTGTCAACCCACCTGTTAAGACCAAAGTTAACTTGCAGTTTAAAAGAAATTACCAGTTAAGGAGTTAACTAGTTCTCGATGCTAATTAAGAGTAGTGTTGAAGAAAAATGGAACAAAGCTGACGAAGAATAAGACCATGAGTTACTCCAGAGTGCCATGTGACGATATCAGCCAGTTCAGTTACGGATTGTAGAAAGAACAAAATCAACCACATCTAATTCAGACGATAACCCAGACAGTAAAGACGAATTTGTTTCCCTCAGATCCGGGACTTGTCCAAGACGACTCGATCACAAAAGGCTAATCATCGAGACAAGAATGTCACACACCTCCCACTTCCACTTCTCACTCAGCACCAAAAATTGTATTGGAACTTCCATTCCTCTACTCAAAAGTATTTGCAATATCATTCATGCAAGGCATGTGCATGATCTACATACACAAATACAAAGTTCAGAGAGATCTCAACTTCCTAATTTCCATAAGCCTCAAATTTCTAGAAACAGTTGTCACCTTATGTTCAATACAGAAAAAGGTCAATGAGATTATGCAATGCTGCATCACACCTATAGCATCATGGGATGACATCTTCCTACATGGTCCTTACCATAAAAAACAAAGGTAAGTAGGACTATTTCAACCTTGAGAAAAGGGAATAAGTGCACTACCTCTATAGCCTTTGTTTTCTCATTTTGCAAAATAAGGCACTATTTATCTCTTTCAAATCAGAATAACCTTTATATTTATAGGTCAGGACATATTATGATAAGCATGGAAAAGCTGAAACTCAATCATTCTGGCTGCTAGCAGCCTTTGCTGCAACATGGATGTATTCTCATTTATTTTCAATACTGGGTGTTAGAAACAGATACAATTGAGGAGAGGGCAAAACGTACCCTTCAAGACCAGGGTTTTTCGGGTAGTATACATTCTTCAAGCCCAATCTTTTGGCAGCTAAACCAGTTGTTTCGCCGATGCAAGCAACTGAGTTGTCCCAATTCTCTGGTTCCCGGATAAGCTTAACCCAAGCACTGTTTACACAGGTTCAGCACAACTCTTAAGAATGAAACAACAGTCACTCCAGAAAGAAATAAATTATAAAACAATAATATTCAGAATATCTGTGGTATCTTCAGATAAACCAGGAATCCTCAAGAACTAGAAGAGCCAGTTCATTTAACTGTCATGTACAACAAACCAAAGCACATGGCTGTAATAAAACCAACACCATGATGGAGTTCAATAAAAAAGAAAGAAAACTGTTGCTGATTTGCCTCGAAAAACAAACAGGAAGGGAAAATATGGAAGACATCGTAACTCAAAAATCAAATGTCATGAACAAACATCTGAATTTTACCGGGCTGCAGAAGGGGAAGCCACTGCAACAACTGGAGTAGAAAGAGCAAATTCCAAAATAGTTTCATCCACATCTTTAGCAGCTATCTAATGAGTATTCATGGGAAACAAAAATGTCTACTATCAATCCTTTTGAATGGGAACTTATGCAATAAAAACGTATAAAACAAAATAGTAGATCCAACCAGATTATAGTAGCATGATAGTCTGAATCTATAAGCAGAATTACTTTGATTTATGGATTCACCTAACTAGTTTTACAATCCATGAACTCAGAATAACCAGTAAAGAACCATGATAAACCACTGAAAATTGACATATTAGAACATTAGTCACATGACAGCAAAATGCACCTCTTCTGAAGAAAGCATTGAGAACCACAGTTCAACTTAGATAAATGCACAAAGATGACAAGGCAAAGTATCCAAGGAAAGCTCATTACCTAGTTATGCTAGCTTGGAGGCTGCTTTCTTGCTCCAGCCAAAGTATATTAATTATTAGATTACAAGAATATGACCATTTGTCGCATGCTATCTCACCTCATGCCCCAAAATTTGGCTAGCTACTATAATTAGAGTCTTATCTGGCAGGTTCTGTCAGGTTATAAAAACTGATCTATAACAACTGGTACAGTTGCCTTTTAACCTCATTTTTATACACCAAGGTACAGCATGAAACCAAAAGGTGCACCTTCGACACATTTGGGTGATGTAAATAGCATAGTACCTTTCTTTTCCTTATTTTTAGACAAAAAACTATTCAAGTAGTATTAAATGGACCCCTTTGTTGGAATACTATCCTCATAGTGACCATTTTGTATGTTTCAATTAGAGGAAGCAGAGTACAAGAGCAGCAACAATCGTTCAGCTTAATTATCTGGAGACCTTTGCATTGATCTTTCTCCGCCTATTCTTTTAATAGTAAGATCTATATATAGTCCAGAAGCATCATGTGTCTTTTCACCTTCAGTCTTTCTCTAACTCTTATAAGACTAATCTAATTCGAGACAACCCCCATCTAATCTAAGTATCTGGGCTAATTATTTTTGCACTATATTAGATAGTAGCTAGTACAGTTCCCCTAACTTGAATCTATCAATAAATAGATATGATTGTGTTAGAATATAAAACAAGTTGGACAAAGAGAAGTATAAAAGTTTTTAAGTAAAACTGAAATTTTTCATGCATGTAAGAAGAATGATTGTGATCTAGTAAATGGAACATGAAGTTCATTATTAATCACCAAATGGATCCATGAACTTCATTATTAAACACCAAATGGATCCATAAATCATGAATGGTACTATAATTGACATAATTTTCTCATCTTCGATAGTGGAAGTTCTTGCAATATGATAGATCAAACTGTCAGCAAAGAACGTAAACATATGAATAAATAACTTACAGAAGATTGGTAAATTATTGTTACACCACAACTTTCTAATAATAAGTACATAGGAAGGAAATCTGATGCACCAGGTTTTAAGACTCCAGGTATCACTTACGCATAAAATGTAACTCTTGTCCAGATAATATTACAGTGAAAATGGGGCAAATCCATAGGAACAAAATTTTAGTCCAAAATTTGAATCTTACAGTGTTATAAGTATTCATCCTTATGATGTCAAATCCCCGTGCAGACAAGCCTTCCTCTGAAGAGATGATGAAAATACATTAAAGCAAGCAGTAACAAAACTGTCTATAGCCTCGACTAGCCTCAACAACAAGTTGATACCAAATTAACTAGATCCTGTAAGGAGTTAATTCTGTTAACAATTTACATTGGAGAAGCAATATACATAAACATACATATACATACATATGCATATACATATATATACATACACACACACACACACACACACACACACACTTCAGATGTATATTATAATATATCATCTCATCAGCAACTAAGTACTCATTATTTCCAACTTGAAAGAAATGTTAACTTTTCTGACCAATTATTCTGCACAATGAATAATACCTTCAAAAACTAAAATTTTGATACAAATTTTTTTAAAAAATTCTTCCACATGCAAACAGTCCAAAGAAAAAGAGTGTTGTGCTGCCTTAATAGAAAATTTGTGTTGTGTAGCTGAGAGCACAGGGGCTACTGAGACCAGTTGAATGAGCAAACATCCCACCATTTGACCCCACCTGCTATGCCCATGGCCTGTGTGAGGCGATATGATCTTTCCCAGTATAATGTTGTTTAGTTTTCCATAATAAAAATATAACAGCTAGAAAGTTCGACCAACCAATTTCACTGCCAGCCTTTACAGATGCAGGATACAAGACTTTGTTCTGACCATACTTTGGGAGCTCAGAAGCTAATACTTTTCCAGTTGCTGCAGAAAAGAAAAGCAGTCATTGTTAAAGGCTGTGTTTCGACTGAATTAATCATGACAATTAAGTAAAATGATGCTACAGAATAGGAGAAATTCATATGCCAAAACTATACTTAGTACTAATCCTCTGTTACATAGTATTTTTAGAACCTCTGGATTTTCATTCTACTAGTCCCTTTACATCTCTGAGAAGAACCAGAGTATTCAACACTTGAACATAATGGTAACTTCTGGAACACCAAAGATCAGCTATTGAAGCCACACATCAATTTCCCCCTGTTGACCAAAATCTCTTCCACAAAACTCATGCACATTTTAGTTAGTTATATTTAAGTGTTTGATCTCTGCCATGCCCTTTGTGTGGATATGAGTCGCTTATATCACCTACATTGTACTTTAATAACCATGATTGGTCATACTGTCATGCATAATGACTACACTCACATAGCATATCCACATTCGATTAGGATTAAAGTATCATGGTACAAGCCCATGCTAATCATGTCTTATGCCATGTGGCCATAGGGTGACCATGTTATAGTGTTTAGTGCAATCACCCCTTCTGGCACATAGCAAGCCAATGGCACAGGTTTCGAAGTAGCAATGTTCTAGCAACAAATCAAATACTTAGATTTTTTGCTATATCATATGTTCCATAAAAATTAAAAAAAGTAAACTTTTAGGTCCCATTCATTTGGGAGGGATGACAGCCCTAAAACTAACATATTTTAGAGTATTCATAAAAATGAATGAAAATTATTTTGACACCACATGTGGCATGATTGGACTAAGTTGTCTTACTTGCAAAAGTCCTACTGCAACTTGATATTCATATGGCTTGTCTCCATGAAACTTCTATCGATTTATCCATAAACTATCCTCATAACAAGAGGTCCTTGGACTCATTGATCAGCTTTCTCAATTGCATATGGGGCATTATAATTTAAATGATAGGAAGTATCTCTTTTCAATTTACTTTACAATTGCATATAATAAACCCACCAAGATCCCACTCATGGGGTTATGTGCACTTTGCAACTCTGACAAAGAATTGTGTCACCAATGATAGAAAAATACAATTTATTCTTTTATAAACTTCAAAAACTTATTCTCAATGTTATTTAATGTTTTTCCTCATCTCATGGAGTAATTACTTATTAACTCAGATGTGAATTTATTCCAATATGCACCAATATATAGCAGTGTGACTTGATAATACAAAGAAACTATTATATAAGTCTAGGTAGTATTTGACCATTAAGAGGCAACATTGAGTACCCTTTGAAGGAGAGAAAGCAATCTCAAGAGATTGCTCAGTTGATTCCAATGTATCTTGGAAAATGCTTGCTGTGCCAGCTCCAACAACTCCAATTCGCACTTTGGGAGTTCCAGCAACCCTGATTTTGGTCAATAATTTTGGTAGTGAGCAGTCCAACCACATTGAAGCCAACTTACAGTTTATAACTAAATGTTAAACAAACATAAAAAACAAACCTTAGTTATAACTAAATTATCAATAGATGATATCTTATTTATCATCATAACCAGCATAAATATAAGATAACCAGAAATGTAGATAAATATAAAGATTATTTATGCAAATTGATAATCTGAAAAATTACAGAAAGTGATCATCCTGAGGGTTTAGAGTCAGGAGACATTGAAAATTGGACCATATCACAAGTACGTTGCACGTGTAGATGACCAAATGGTGAAAGAAAAAACGAATGTTTTTGAAGTTAGGAATTCTCAAGCACAGAAAATGAGACAATATGACAGATATACAATTGTTTAAAAAAGCATGGGATGAAATTTCAAACAAGAAGCATGAGAGAGAAGAAAAGGAAGAAAAGGAGGCAATAGAGGTTCAGAACTGCTAGAAGAACTGTTAAAGGTATGCTACCCTGTTACTCCAACCCCTTCAAACTCAGCACCAAGATCGAATATACATGACAGTAATACAACAAATGTAACAGAATCTAAGGACTATATTCCTGTAGTAGCTCAGCATAATGCTTATATTTCTCCAAACGTGACAGCTACTTCTGATTGCTTCAAGCATGGTTTCAGATACAACTCGGTTTACTGCTCCAATCAGGAACTAATAACAGTAAGCTAAGTTCTGTCTGTCACCATAATCAGTTTTTTAATTATTTTTCAGTGATACCAATCAGGTACTAGCCGGTTTCAAATAAAGATATGTAGACCAATACCGATCAATTGTTAAGCATATGAATTTAGTAACTCTTAAATATGAATTTGAATAGTCATTACATTGCAAGACACTATATGTCTCGACCTGGGCTTGATGAGCTAATTGGCCTATCAACTTTATTGAACCCAAACCACTGGCCTAAATGCTTAAGTTAAAGTTAACAACAATACGCCCATCAAACTCTTATAAGCTAACCTTAATCTTGTCCACTTCCGATGTGGGACTAATCGGAGTGTTACACTATATAATTCGGTAAACACAGAAAAAATCTTAAAAGATTTATTGCGAGGGAACATGTTGGCTTGGTAGCACACTATGTACAAGTTTGACTTCAGACTAGTAAGGTATGGTGTGGTCAATAAAGGCCCTCACAATCCTTGGGGAGTCATATTAAAATGTATCTCCATACCAGGGATTTTGGACATAATAGATAAGAAGTTTGTAAAGAACCATCCAGAAAAATAAATAACCATCACAACAAAAATTTTCTCCTAAATTTATCATGTCAAAACACACCAAATCTTAGCTTCACTCATTCAAAATCCCTTTAAAGCTACCTCATTTATTTATCATTTTATGGAAAAAATTCCTTTATAGAGGCTGACCTCTCAAAATCAGGCTTGATGAAATTGAGTGATATGTTCACACAGCAAAATAAATTAGTACAATATTAAGGGTTGTTTGGCAAAAAAAGAAAGAGTTAAAGTGAGAAAGAAAAACCACACAGAAGATGTTTGATATCCAACACATGCAATAATTTATAGACATATACAGCAATATACATTAATATCACATACATGAAATAAAAATTAAGTCGATGTGTCAGAATCTAACTTGGAAGAATTTAGTAAGTACAGGAAAGATGACCCCGACTTTTCAGCATCAATGCATTGTATCTTCTCTTAACTCCACAAAAAGATCTACAGTATTGTTTAATCTATGTTTCAAAATTCACTAGAAGAAAATTTCAATGAGAAAACCGTGCAACTTCAGAATATTCATGTTCGTGGAATGCACATACTTGCAATGAAAGTAGTCATAAGATACACAAATACTTGACCAGCATCACCAATTAATCATCATGACAAATAGGCCATGAATTGCTACTATTCAACCCTTACTTCCAAGCTTCAAGGAACACTGCTGCAGCTTCAGGAGAAGTTATGACAATCCAATCAAACTCAGAGTCTGAACAATAGAACAAAGAGTAATCATTCATCTTGCGAGAATGGTGCAACTTAAGAAAGGTTTCGATCAGCAGGTATATGTTGAAATGATTTGTTAAAACATTTCTATCTCGTAAGAGGACATCAGACGATGAGTATAATGGTGACATTTGCATATATAAAACCAAACAACTCAATAGAAGCTATCAAATGGGAGTGGTAGTCATAAGATAAACTCATTCTCAGATGTGTATATTCAGAATGTAATCCCTCTGCTAAAACCATCATGTTCTCCCTGATAAGATACACTAAATGAAGTTCTAAAAAATATATCTTGAGCCAATATTTGCTTTCAGCTTTGCAGTCACTTTTACTTGTATTATAACAACTAAGGCCTACTTTCACTGTTCAGCAAGTCCTTTAAACCCTTCTAACAGCTATCAGCCTAGTCACCTGAGTTCTTATCCTTTCTGGACAGTCTGATGTGAACATACAATAATGTCCATTAGCTCAAACATAAATCAAGTGCCTATATGTTTCTGAAAGCTAGTTCATAGCATTACTAAAAGCTACACAACCTTCATTTTTACATCTGTAGTCTGTACCACCAACTTTGGTTCTCCAACTTTTTCCTCAAATGCCTTTCTTGTTTGCCCCAATTAAATCATTATTACTGCACCATAAGTGATGCAGCATTGATTCAATTTGAATTAAAATTAGACTAATTTTAGTTAAGTGGAATCCTAGGTTCAAGATTGTTTGGCCTGATTGAGATTGCTTTGAATTTTCTATTTGAAATATATCTTGCATCTTAACTGAAACTTCAGGGGCTAATTAGGTTTTGTAGAAGGTGATTGATTGGAGTCCTAAATGGAGCCAGATCAGGGAGCCGTTCATTCCAACTGAATAAATCCTTTTAGAATGCCTTTAGTTTAAAAGGAAGGCTGCAGCTTCATGGCTTTGGGTTGAACATGTACACGTGTTTGTGAAACCAATTTTATCAGTATATAAGAGAAACTAATGATAAATAGATTAAGAATAGCTAAAGTATAAGGTCAATGCAATTAAACCAGGTTAAAGATTCAGCTGAGATAAATAAAAATATTGACATAAATTTGCAAGTTTACAAACTTACCACTTAAAATGGCTGAAAGTTTATCTGCATCAGGTCCCTCAGTATGCTTAACAAGAGGAACCTCCAAACAAAAGATGTTGTGTTTTTCCTACAACACAACAAGAAGATTGAAATTCATCATGCACCATATAGGCAGTTACATAAAATTTTTTTAATGTGTCAATATATCAAAATTAAGTTGTTTAGCTATTATAGCAATGAGAGTGAGTGCACAGGTGACAACCTAGTAAAACCTCCAGAATGTTTCAAACTGCACCACTTTGTTTGCACTAAAAACTAGGTTTGTGTGGATTTTCATTTTCCAACTATCAGTAGCACTGAAAAGGAAAAAGGTTTGTTCTGTGACTTGTGGTTTGACCTTAGTAACCTGTATCTTAGTAAATTGGGTCAATTGATTAGGTTTTTGGTGAGTGAGATCTCTAATATCTAAATATATAGAAAAAAAAGCGGAAAAAGCTTCTGACACAATCTTGTATCGGCTCACATGAATGTATAGTTTGTTATCGAGATTTTGCTCTTGGTTATCTCTGAAACTTCAAAGCATCTCTTATTCAACATCTCCTCATTTTGTCCATCATTTGGTATCAAAGACTTGCTACGCTCTTGAATTAATTTCTTCTTGATATGGAAACTAGAAGAAGTTGGAATGACACGGTAGAGGAATGACAGGCCACAATAGAAATGAAAAGGATGAAGAATTTGCAAAATGTATAAAGACAACTTGAAGAGATGTCATGTGCCTTGACCGTCAAGAAACTTACAGCTCTAGAATTTTAAGATATGGTTATGCAAATGATGGATCCAAAATGCAAGCAGACAAGCTATGGAGTCAACCTGGGAGAATTTCTTCATGCAAATAACATCAAAATTGATTTGTTGGAGTCCCATGATCAGCTCAATCCGAAGAGTTTTTCTATTTGCTCAGTGCTGTTGAAAAATTCTTTTTTGACTACAAAGAGAAAACCAAAGATTGAAAAATAAAATTATCATCACAAGACTTAGGAAGTCAAGATTATGCTTCAATCTGGTAGGACCAGATGTAAGAAATGTGCTATTTTTTAACAACTTAGGCGAAGTTCAAAAATAAGCTCCATGAAAATTTTCTACCATCTAATTATGCACAAACAACAAGATAACACCCACAGTTCTTTTCCTATGCTGCAACACCGAGTCTTACCAAGAAAAGATTCCAAATTTATCCATAAAGAAACAACTATGAAGAGTTACCGAAATTAGAAACACAAAACCAAAGATGGTCTCGCATAGCCAGGCAAAAGAGGTACCAGAGAACTGATGAGCTTCGCATTCTTGCCTCGCTCTCTGGTGACGACGACCTCAGGCTTCGAAGATGGAGAAGGCGAAGAGGAGGAAGAAGCGGAAGAGGCTAGAAGCCTGAAGGAGGACAGAAGAAGTCGTCTCTTTTGGGAAGGAACACGAGGAATGACTATGGCAGGCCGAGAGGGAAGGAAAACTGAGGCCATGACAAGAAAGGTGGAGATCTCGAGTGCCAGCGCTGGCGATGAAATTGTGGTAGAAAACCTCTCTCTCTCTCTCTCTCTCTAACCCTTACGCTAAACGTGAACCCCCCCCCCCATTGGCGTCGAGTTCTTGTTATTTTGCTCTAACACCCTTGCAAAATATATAATTATCCTCTTTTTTTCCTTTTTATATAATAAATATACATAATATGTATACTCAAAATTTTTGACTTAATATATTTATCATTAAAATATTTCAACCTCCAAATATTAAGATCAATCATATCTGTCACGTCTATTAACATCCAATTTGAAATTTGAAGTCAACTAATTTTGACCATAACTAATATTAGTTTACTTAAGTTAAAAAAATACATCGAGATATAAAATCCCAAAAAATCCTCAACATTTTCATTATTATAATAATTTTTTTAGAAGTAAAAAAATAAATTAAAATTAATTGCCATCATATTATAATAAATCTTTAGAAGTTATGGAAGCAAATTAAAAATTAATTAGCATCGTATAATATGTTGAAATTAAATTTAAGGAGATAAATTAAAATAAAATTGCTTACTTCGAGGGATGTCTGTAGAATTTTATTTTGTACTTTTTTCAATACAAGGGAGAATGGGAAGAAGGAAATTATTGATTAAGACTATCCTTCAATTGCTAACTTTATTTCCACGCTCTATCTGTGTTCTCCTTAGTCCTCCTTACAACCTATGAGTTGACTAATCAAAGATTCATAATCTGCAGGACATTTAATCTTTACAGGATTCAAGAAAGATCGACGTATATAATCTTATCCCTAAGTTTCTACCGTCATTGCCTTAATCTCCGGAGTTCAAAATTATGCTGCAATTCATCTAGGGTTCTATGTAAACTGTTCTCTAGAAGGGATAATTCAGATCAAAATGATGAAGCAAACAATTGGAGCACCACATCAGTAGTTAGTTAACTTGATGAACTATTCTTGGGAATGAACACACAAGAAAAGGAAAAATCCACATCAAGCACACCATGATAGCTATTAAAACTAGTTTGGAAACCAGATGCGCAACTCTGTTTGATGCATCCGTCAAATTAGTTCTAAGAAGATCGATAATTGATGCGAAAGAATATTTACAACATGAACACATCAAGATACAACTGAGTTACCAGCACAAAAATGACTATTTACTCAAAATAAACGTCCCTTGAAGATTTGGCACTCAAAAACAAAGAGAGATATGGGTTCGTGCTTTCATCTTGCTCAATGATTGGATGCACATCAGCTTCCATCTCGTGCAGCTAAACATGAATTTTTCCACAATTGTTACAGCTAGCTTGGCCTTCCAATGAGCATCAAGATCATCTTGCAAACTGTGGGTGCTTCAGTACCAAATCCTAGATCATGACTGATGCCATGAATAAGACTGTGGATATATCTTTCCCGGCATATTTGCAGCTTGTGGCCAAAAAATCTGCACATGAAGAACGTAACTCAAAGATAAGCATCCAATCTAAGTATACTGTTTATACACACGAAGTAGTGATGCAATCCAGAGTTCTCTCGAGTATGTATACCAGCTTAGTAGACCAACAATATTGGCAGGAGTTTATTAATTGCTTGAAATTTCAAGATAGAATGCTTTACCTAGATGTTTTTGAGGTGCCATTTTCTTGTCTAGCTAACTCGTCTCCTATTATTGAGTGATGATGAATCAGATTCTGAAGCACTCAGCGATCTCCTGACAAATGGGTGCTCAAAAAGTCGAGAAGCAGTGGGACGATCATCTGGATTCACTTGCACACACTGGCTAATGAAATCACGTGCATCTTTAGATAAGTAGGTTGGAATAGGAGGCTGTTCGCCGCTGCCAATCCTATAAAAGGCTTGTGCCTGCAAATTAGACTGTATCAATTACTAGCGTCTTCACTCATCAAAAAAATAACAGAAAAAAGAAAAAGAATGGAGGAAAGAAAACTACTGACACCAAATGCATTGACATTATTTATTGTATCCCTCCAAACTAGAAATTGTCATATACAACTGGCAAATGTATTAAAAAATCAAGACAACCATATTTCAAACTCGAATTAACAAGAAACCTGGATAGAGTTCATGCTGCATGAACTAATATTGCACCATCATTCATGCAAATTGATTATAGAATTTCTTCCATTAAGAGGAACAGAAACCTGCAAAACAGGCCTCATGTGATTGATTTTACAGAAACAAAATTTTCTCACAATGGAAGGTCCTCTTTGCCTTTGTATTACTGTGTCCTCCCTTTTTACTCATATTTGACCCATGTTTTCTGCAACTAATTATTTTCTTTTTAAGTTCTCTTAGGTGATTCTCCTCTGTAGTTTGCCATTGGAGAATAACAACAGCTAGTATCCAAATCTTACAGACTAATTTCTGCAAATTTCATCTGTTAGAACAGATGAAATTTGATTCAAATACTAATGATACTATACAATGGGCCAGCAACAACGACAACATGTTGCATGCAAAGAGAAGAATGGGATTCCAAAAGATCCTGAAATCAAATTAACTGGTCATGCAGCACCATGTTCCGCATATTATCTTGCTTCCTCCAGTTAAAACCTTTGAATTTGGCACTAGTTCTTTCCTGTCTAAATTAGGAGCCGAGTGTAAGGACACAACATGCCACTCTGGACTTTGAGGAATGAATGTAACCAGTCTTATCAACATATGTGGAGCATTTACTTCCATAATTCACCACAAAACAACCAACAGAAAAACCCACTGCAGCACCGAGGCCCACTAGGTATGCCTCGAGCCTGGAAGTATGCCATGTACTATGTCTGATCGAGAATGCTAAGTAGTATGGCTCAAGGGGCTGAAAGAACAAGGAAATTTTGTTGGTCCAGCTTGTAGATACAATTAAAATCCAACTGGCAGTCAAATAAGTTAATGCCAGTTGATATGAAGATATCAATTGACCCCTAGACCACCTGCACTTAAATAGCGATATATGACTTATACATAGCAGGTTGATACATCATCAAATATAGGAATAACAGTAAGACACACCATCAATGCGGTCAGAACTGCCCAACTAAATTCTATTGCACCATAACTGAATGAAAGCCCAATCATCTATCATGTCATCTACAAAATCCTAAGATGACGATCCATAACAGTTCACATTATAACAATTTCACATTATAAAAGGGGATCTCCTGTGCAATAGCATGTTTAGAATTTTCCTCCTCTTTGATAAGCTTTATTAATGCAGTCAAAACTGCCCAACTAAATTATATTGCACCTTAACTGAATGGAAGCCCAACCATCTATCATGTCATCTACAAAATCCTAAGATGATGATCCATAATAGTTCGTATTATAACAATTTCACACTATAAAAGTGGATCTCCTGTACAAAAGCATGTTTAGATTTTTCCTGGATGCAAACCCAACCATCTATCATGTCATCTACAAAATCCTAAGATGGCGATCCATAATAGTTCATATTATAATACGTTCACACTATAAAAGGGGATCTACTGTACAAAGCATGTTTAGGTTTTCCTCTCCTCTTCGCTAAGCTTTTATGTTCTTAATATCTTTTCCTCAAGTATTCTCTTTGCCTTGAAATGAATTAACTCTAACTTGAGCATCAAAAGAGGAACCCATTGGACGTATCCCCAGCACCCCCTCTATTTAGCAAGATTCACCCTGGATTGACCACATTGGAGCACCTCAGTCCAACTTAGCTGATCCCTAAACTCTCTCCCCTTCAGTTGGTTGATCACCCCGACATATCTCTATACATATTGCCACCTCACAAAATGGTCCAGGTTAGCTCTTGTGATCTAGCTTAACATTAACCTCAACACCAACATACATGCCTTGATTGGTCATGCTAAGCACCATTGTCACTTTGTCCTCTCTGATTATCAAATATCTGAAATGCAAAGCTCTAATTTGCCACCCTTGATTCCAAATAACTCTATTCAGTGAAGTTGGATGTCTACAGAATAAATTAAACAAGATTCCTATCTCAATTTTTTTGGCCTCTTGCTTCTCTTCTCATCTAAATTGTAGAAATCTTCACCCCATATCATCTTATTAATGATCAACTATCTACCCTTAAATTCATAAGTCAAACAACGCCAAATATTAGTTTGGTAGTTTGATGCAATTACAAGTGTGAGATTTTATTATTTTTTCAGTATTTATATCTTAATACTTTTGGTAATTATTGTTCTTTCCTTCAGCAAATTAAATAAAAATGGATGGTTTACACACCTTAATTCTTTATTTGGCTATTAAATTGATTAGGTCGAGTCTGAATCTCCAACTAATTTAAATTAATCATGCACTCACTGTTCTTCCGATGGCTAGCTGCCCCACTGCAGCAAACATCATTTAACTCATAGGGAGGTGATATTTGAGATCAGAAAAAACAGCTGAATGTATGACTAGAAAAAGGTATAAAAGTTTGTGTTTTTGTTATTCAACTGAAGAAAGGTTTAACTCAAAGCATTTGGGGAAAAATAGCAATTATCTAATACTGACATGTAAATTACTCACCCATTCCAGGTCGGGATAAGGTATCTGACGAGTCAACATCTCCAAAACAGTGCATCCAAGGCTCCATAAATCGGCAGCAGGTCCATATGAACTTCTAGGATTAATGACCTGGAAATTTGAAATTAAGAATTATCATTGGCTATAAGTGCTAGAATTTCCAACAACTTCATTAATTTGTTTGATAGAAACCAGTTAAACAAAATTACACCAAAACTTTGGTCCTTATCCAAGAGATAGGTCTTGGTAGGTTAAAACACATTCTATAAAGCAGTTGCTATAGCTCATTGTTTTCAGTACAAGCACCAAATCTGAAGAGAAAACCCTTTAGGGAACATGTGACATAGAATGTTAGATCACATACATGTCAGCAGGTAGGATATTGTAGGATCATATACCACAATCATTTAAGTCCGAGATGCATCTTTTGTGGCAATCATGGATTTGAGATGTATAATGATATTTAAATGATATTTATATGCACCAAATCTCAAAACAGGATGAAACCAAAATTGCCTTCTAGGATTGTCATAATGAACTAGTCTAAACTTTCAATCTATTTAAGTCTATTTGTTGATATATAGTATATATACCTCAGTCAAACAAATATCTATAGTAAGATATTACCATGTTTGCAAAGCATTTCATAGATTCTTTTGGCAAAAAACTCCAGATTAGGTCCTCAACATGTTTGCTAATGGAAAAGAATCTACAGAAAGAAGGGCTAACCTCTGGAGCCATCCAATATACACTGCCTTTGCAAGATTTCATCGCGTCGAACTTGGTCATCTGAAATTCTCAACAGCAGCAGTATATAATATGAATAAGATGATACTTAACAAATCAATGAGATATTAAATGTAACATGTGAAAACTAGAGAGCAATAAACGAACCTCCTTTGCCAGTCCAAAATCTGCAAGTTTGACGGATCCATTTGCATGAACCAATATATTTGCACTTTTGATATCTCTGAAAAAAAGAGAAGATGTCTTAAGTTTGTCTTCCAATAAACAAGTGACACTGGGAAACACTAAAGAAAAGTAATTGTCAGAATGATATATTTAACCCCTGCAGTTACACAGAAACCTCCATACTATATGCAAATCCAGTCCTAATCTCTCTTAAGGATTGACAGCATTGCAGAATCAGATAAAAATCATTGTGGTTCAATTAATAGAGACAACCAAGATAATGGCATGGGAAAGGGTTACATGTCCCTCTACATATTGACTAGTCTTGAACTAAATCAAGCTTTTAGCTGTCCTTGTCTGCTCCTATGCATGATCCATAGGAACAAACATGTTAAAGTGGCATGCATATTATGCAGGGATATAGTTCACTAATATGTACAGTTCAGCCATGGGACATGGCAACAACAAAAAAATGGCTTGCGACAGAAAAAAGATCCACAATTGTAACATCATAGCTTTAGAAACCAAGTTTATGAATAAGAGTATTGACATAAACAAAAAACATTTGCATCACCTATGCACAATATTTCGCTCGTGAAGGTAGTTTAAGCCATTTAAGATCTGCCTGGTATATGCTGAAACTTGGGAATCTTGCAAACGATATTTTTGATAGAGAGAAGCAAGGGAACCTTGTGTGACAAGTTCAAGGAAGATATATAGCTTTGAATCCTCCTGTAAAAAGATCCACACCACATATCAGATGATTCAAGAATGGATGCAGAAATTACACAACGAGAAAGGAAATATGTTGTCAATAGCTAAGTTGACTCAAATGAAAAAAAAAGCAGGGGAACAAATATTAAAAGCTTCAAATATCCCAAATCTGTGACATTTTAAATTGGTGTTCACAGCATTGGATATTCTCTCTCTCCCTTGCTGCATATCTAATGTCATGCATGTGAAAATATATCTAACATTGAGAAGTTAATGAAAAACAAAGAATATTATGAAATAACAAGATTGGAAAAACAATATACCTTGTCTGTCCCATAATACTGAACTATGTTTTCATGTTCAAACTGACTTAAAAGTGCGATCTCCTGGAAGGAAAAAGTCAAACAAGAAAGCTCAGAACAGAACTTAGACAAACTTTCAATTACACTTCAGATTCATGGAAGTCCCAGAACATATTTAACTAGAAAGAGAAGGGAAAACAACTTGGGAACAATGTTGAGCATGACTTAGAATCAATGCAGCTGGATCATCAAAAGTGAAAATTGGCATCATCTCACCTGCTCAAGTTGAAGTATACATTGTTGGGCATTGCTTCCTTGGTCAAGCAAAGATACTTCTTTAACAGCAAAAAATATACCCTCACTAAACATTTAAAATAGCAAACATTAGTTGGAAAGTAATAGGATATTCAACGATACTGTATCAACGTTAACCAAAGAAACATAAGGAAAAAAAACTCCAAATGCAACAAGATGGACCAAACAGTTATTTTCATTAGCAGACATACAATTACATTTTCCTGAGCATACTGAAAATATCATTAGCAAAGAAAACTGTGTTTCACATTAAAATAGATCTGCAAGTTATATATTGATATATATAATCAAATGTCTGACTATGAATACAAAGAATAAGACTAAATCCTAGCAAGAACCTACTGGACCTTGGATAAATGCAAATAGTGCTATTCAAGAGCTTGAGTAACCTACATGACCTTAGATATATGAAAATAAGGCCATCCAAGCAGTTGAGGCTTTCTTTATACTTTATACTTTCCAGGTATTAGTGTGATAATTCTCATATGAGAAATACTATGTTCATTAATTACTAATTATGTATTCACTTCAATTGACTTTAGGATTTTTTGATACTTTTTCTTTCTTAATCTTTTCAATATTCATTTCTATATCTATGCTCCTTAATTTATGGTACGAAGCAAGGTTCGTAATTTTGTACCATACCGGAGTATCGAGCTTTGCTTGGCATGGTACGATATCATGTATCGAGCGGTACACCAAGGCGTAACGAGCGATACACCTAATATAGGCATAAAATCCTTCGAAAATATCTGAAAAAAAAAATTAGGATAGGATTTTTAAGTTAGAAATAAATATAGCATTAGTATAAGTTTAGGAAAATCAATATAAATTAGGTAAGAATAGTATCACATATCTTTTTCGGACTTTGAGGAATAACTTGTGCAAGGTTCGTATTTAATATAGTAATAGTAAAATTGATCAAATTTCGATTAAATCATCATTAAAATGACTAATCGCAGCATTAAATAACTTTAACAAAATTTTATTAAACTTATTTTATTATCATAAATATCTTTCAATATTTAATATGCATGAAATATAAATATTTAACTTATTAAGTGTCTAATTTCGAATTAATCAATATTAAACACACTAATCATAATATTAAATATCTTAATTACCCTCAAATTAAAGAAAGAGAGTACATATCTCTTGATTAGAAAGTTCTTCCTCTTAATCTTCCCAAATTAGCCTCGATTCACAAATCGTTGTTTAGTAAAGTATAGGAGAGCGTATATATGAGAAAAAAAGAGTTTGAGATAGTTTAAGAGAGTATGAGAGCGAAATTGAGTGAAATAGGGGGGAAGAAGAGTTTAAAAACCTAAGAGAAATGACTCCAACGGTCAATTTGACCATTGGAGCATTGTTACCAATCGGTAACGGTTGATTTCGATCGTTACCGCCCAATATAACCCCGTATCGTCCGATACGGGGCGATGTTACGCGTTCCACCCAATAGCGGACGATCCGTGTACCAGTATCCTGTCGGACCGGTACGTACCACCCGTAGCGGGCAATATTATTCGAAACTATAAACCTTGGTATGAAGTTAATCTTGCTCCCAGTGTAAATTACACCAGCTTTTTACTTCTCTGTGACTCTATTTGTACATCACTATGGAAAAATAAATGTAAAATATCATAACATAGTGCACTCTTACATGTAATCAAAGCATCTTACACATTATTAGATACTCATCTCCTTTCTGAGACACGTGTTATGAACCAACCTAAGACTTACTAAATAACTCAGGTATGTAGGCATAAAATCATGCGGACCAAAGTGTTGACTCGTCTAGCCCTATGTCTTAATCCAACCCATCAACTCCTAATGTGGGATTATGTTGTATTATAGTTTCCACTATGCTAAGGCTTGATGCCCTCGTCAAGGCCTATCACATAATTCAAAATCATACAGTAATACTAGTTATTTCCTATTTTGTCCACCCATTATAGTATTAGTTCTACTTTTGGTACCAATTGTCATGACTTAATTAACCAAATGACAGATATAATGTGATCATGAAGGAAAAGGTCACTAACAAACTTAGACTGAGATGATCTAAGTGTAACCAAAATACATAAGTACCAAAAATATATAGGACAAATAAAACTCCTAAACTTGAATATGGAAATATCTTACATGGGCTATGTATCCATCTAAAAGTTCGACTTAAAGAAGATGTTCCTAGTAACATATTGGCCAATGCTACTAACTACTATCTTATTTACGAGCTTTGTCTAAATAGAAAAGTGTAGCACTTGTTACAAAAAATGCTACAAGTTTATATGATTGCAATTAAGCAACCTGTACATATTCTACAGAGATTCAAAAAGGAAAGAATATAAAATTCCAAAATTTACACCGTCATGTTATAGGATTCTTTATTAAACATGAGAGTGTTCACAAGGTAACTGAAAACTCATTAGAAGCATGTTGTAGATAAACAGCAGCATCAAGAAGAACCATGCAGTATGCATAACAGCAAGAAGTTCTTGGATAACTAGTTTTGCATCATTACTTACTCACTGATCCCTTCATACACCATTCCATAGGAACCACTCCCCAAGAGTGCACCACGCATCCATGACTTTATATTCCTCTTGAACCGACCATTTGGTGAGATGATGAACAATGTCTCAGTAGTCGTACTGGATGATTCATCATCGTTCATCGTAGAGTAAGAGGATGTCCCATTGAAGTCTTCAGCGGTTTCCCTCAACCACAACTCCTCGTTGATTTCATCTCCTGCAAGAACCTCTTCCTTCTTGTTCATCACCTCAGAATCTACCGTTCTCATCCCACCTGCCTCCGGACCACTTTCCTCTGGAGCAAAGGTCCAAGACGAAGTCACTCCGTTAACGGCTGTAAGGGAAACTGGAGGCGATTTAAGAACTGATGACGGATTGTCGAGGATAGGTATCGACGGTGAAGGTGAAAATTTTGCCATAGATGATGGAGATAGAACTGGAGGCCTGACTCCTCGAATTCCTCCATCTCGTCCCCCAGAACTCGGAGGTACACAGGGATACTTGGCAGGTTCATCATCAGCAACCCTAATTTCAGCCTTCGAACCATCAGTGAGATGCCAATCTTCCTCTTCCCAATCCTCCTGGCTTCTGTGCTCTTCTCCGGACACTGACAAGGGCTCAAAAGGAGTAGAATCGATCACCAAGGTGCGATCTTCAGGCGCAAAGGTGAGATCGTTCGGGAATGGGATGTCGGGCTGGAGTGGTCTGGGCCTCGGGAGGATGTCGGAAGAGGACCTCACCTTGTGCCTCTCCCAGTCGGACTGAGAAATGGCGAAGTCATCTGGACCGTCAAGGCCAAGGCTGCGGTAGAGGATGTCCACCTCGCCCTCGATGCTGCCGCCGATCCGGAAGCTCGTCTGGCGGGCGTACGTCGACGGCCAGAGGTCTAGCGACCGGGTAGCCCGGAGGTTGTGGTACTCTTCCGAGTCGGCGGAGGAGAACGAGGTCCACGAAGGCCCCGCCGCCTCATACTGTAAGTTCTTGACCGCGTTGCGCCGGTCCAGCCGCCGCCCCGCCCCCTGCTGCGGCTGCCGGGAGTCCACCCCGTCCCGCCCCGAGCGGGAGGTGACTTTCCTACGGTTGAAGAAAAACATAGGCCAGCGACAGCGCAAAACCCATCAGAATAATAAGTGCCTCAAGACCCGATCTTGGCGTGCCCTTGCAACTAACATAACCGGAAAGACGCCAACTTTGGAACGAACAGAAAAGAATCGTCGATAAATTTCGATCAGAAGCGAAGGTTTCTGGTGCTTCCGAAGCCCAAAACAGGGAAAAAAAAAGGAAGGAATAGGATTGGGCTTCGTTCCCGGGAATCGGGCGTGCGAGCGGGGTAGAGTAAGACGACCGAACAGAAAGATCGCGGAACGCGGTGACAGAAGACTTAAATCTCGGTGGTTGGATTCATCTCCTCCTCCATCTCACCTGCCGTCCGATCTTGGGAAGGCGTCCCCGTCGCTCGGTGGCGTCACGAACGTTCCATTTGACTTGTCGGGACGCGAATGGCCCACCACCAACCCCGGGCGGGTGTGACCGATCTGGCAGCGCACGAAAGATCACAATTTGCCGGCATGACAGGACGAGCTTCGAATAAAGCACTGTTACCAAAAGAAAGGGTTTTGGAACGATGAGATCGAAAGCGCCGCCAGAATCATCTCCGTATCCACAGCTTCAAATGTGGCTTGGAAGAAAGAGATCTCTCCCACCAACGTGGGATGAGTCTCCTCCATCTCTATGGCTCATCGAGTATGATTCTTATTGCTCTATGGCTCATCAATATCAAATGCATATATTAGCTATCCTATTGATAAGTTTAGTCAATATTTATACATCAGTAAGAACCTTTCTATGTGTACATTTAAACTCAACGGAGTTGAGTAGCTTAATGTCATCAACCATAGATCTCATTAGCCACATAACAGGACAAGAACCAGAGATCTTACGCGAAAGATTTTGACAATCTGATCGAATCCTCAATTGGATTGGGCCTAACTACTCGTCGCTACTCGTCCTTCGCGAAGTAGCCAACACTTTGCTCGACCAGAAGATGCTTCAAAGAAGCCATCACAGTCCAACTGAAAACCAGTCCAACATCATTGTTTCTAACCACATAAACTCTATTCTGAGTCCTTTCGGTATTCACTGCTGCCTTCCTCAACATTGATAGGTTATTGACGTCACGGTTGCGATAGTAATCAACGTTGTTTCTAACCAACCATAATTGTAATAGGAAACTGCAATAAGACACCTAATGTAAGATTTTGCCAGCCACCAATCCCGCCTGGTTACCCCTCACATTATTCTCTGGTGAAGGTTTGACATAGCATAAGGTATATTTTGGGTCCGGGCCACATTACAACCAACGCCACCGCTAGGTCAACAAGAGGAGCACTCCCATGCGTCAAACCGGAATCCGTACCAAGACGTTCCTCTGCACGCCCCATCTCGAAAAGTTTGGGACGACGTCGTATGGCACCGTCCCGCGCGTCCCGGGACAGTGACCGCATAAATATACCATCTCGTCCTTCGAGGATCGATTGCTGTACTAAACCCATGCACGGTCGACCCTCGTATAAAAACCCTTGCCGCCATCTGGCCCAGGCGAGGAGCGGAAGACAAATAAAAACCCCCATTAAGCACTGTCATGAATGCCTGCATCAAGAGAGAGGGGTGAGCGTCCGATAATCTGCGGATTTGCGTCGTAAAGCGGTTCACAAAATGGGAGAGGGGCTCGTCCTCCTTCTGGTTGAGCCCGAGGAGCAATGCCATGGACGATTTTGGTCGGGCATAAGCCAAGAAGTTAAGCTCGAAATCCTTAGCGAGTTGGTCGAAGGAGGTGACGGTCCCGGCCTTCAGGCTGCTGTACCATGCGCGGGCTGGACCTCGCAGGGTTGTTGGGAACGCTCTGCACATCAAGGCATCGGAAGTCCCGTACAGCGCCATCTGTGCGCGGAAAGCGGCCACATGGTCTGCTGGGTCCGCGGCGCCGTCATATGCGTCCAGCGAGGGGAGGCGGAAGTGTGACGGGATTGCCTGATCTTGGATCTCGGGGGTAAAGGGGGATCCCTGCTGTCCGTCTACCCCGAGCTCTCCTTTCGACTTACGAACTTCCTGTTGTACTTCGTCGAGTCTTTGACTGACGAGGCGCAGCTGGGCTCGTAGGGCATTTGTGGAATCGACAGACGGAGCTCCGCGCTCGGGGCGGCTGGCCGCATCTTCCGCCTCCCGGCTCCCGGGCCGGGTTGTCGGGTTCCGGGGCGTGCCAGGGAGCTCGGGGAGGGGTACATGAGGGTGGACGAGGGTTTCCTATTGCTGCGAAGGTCGAGCCGTATGCGGGGGGGTCTGCTGGGAGACGATCGGGATGATGGTCTGCACCATGCTCGTCAGGGCTCGGACTTGATGAGCGAGGTCGTGAAAGGCCTCGGGGGACACCGGCGACGGGCCAACAGGTACGCCTTTGGGAGGTGATAAGCCTGGATCATTGAACAACTGCCAGTAACGTTCTGACGTCGCTGCGGGACGCTCGTCACGAGTTTCATCGTGCGGGGGGTATTCCCCCGGGGTGGGGAGCCCGACGGCCGAGGGCTCGCCTAGGTGGATTCGCTGATCGCTTGACATTCGGAGGCCCTTCCTCTAGCGCCAATCTGTTACGGTAAGTAACTTTTTTAGCCGCCACCTTGGGGGCAACACGGCTAGTCCAGGGGTCCGAACGGCCAGGATCAGGCGGGGCTCCTCTCGGGATCTTGAGGCGGTCGTTTACAGGGAATCAGCCTGGGATGCTTCGCGCCATCTGGATCGGTTTCGACTGTGTACCTGCGCACAGGTCGGGTCGGCGATTCGGCCCGACCCCTCTAACGATCAAGTTAGTGATGAGGAGAGGAGTTCAGAGTGGAATCGTGCCTTTTGTGTGCTTACCTTGCTCGCTTGGAGCCCAAGGGTATTTATAGGTGAGCTCGATGTTACCTGATGCGCCATCCTGTCGGGACAGGGCCGTGCATCTGACCGCGTCCGTTGTCGTCATGGGCGTTGCGTGGAAGGTCCAGTTGCCGCAGGGTATGGCGAGCCTTGGTTGACGCCTTCCCCTGCCTCGTCCGGTCGTGCGGGGTCAGATGATGAGGTCGTCTGGGTACGATGAGCGAGGGTGGGGATGACTCTCCTCCATCTCTATGGCTCATCATCGAGTATGATTCTTATTGCTCTATGGCTCATCAATATCAAATGCATATATTAAATATCCTATTGATAATTTTAGTCAATATTTATACATCAGTAAGAACCTTTCTATGTGTACATTTAAACTCAACGGAGTTGAGTAGCTTAATGTCATCAACCATAGATCTCATTAGCCACATAACAGGACAAGAACCAGAGATCTTACGCGAAAGATTTTGACAATCTGATCTAATCCTCGATTGGATTGGGCCTAATTACTCGTCGCTACTCGTCCTTCGCGAAGTAGCCAACACTTTGCACGACCAGAAGATGCTTCAAATGAGCCATCACAGTCCAACTGAAAACCAGTCCAACATCATTGTTTCTAACCACATAAACTCTATTCTGAGTCCTCTCGGTATTCACTGCTGCCTTCCTCAACATAGATAGGTTATTGACCTCACGGTTGCGATAGTAATCAACATTGTTTCTAACCAACCATAATTGTCATAGGAAACTGCAATAAGACACCTAATATAAGATGTTGCCACCCACCAATCCCAAGTCCCCACTAGGTTATCCCTCACATTTGTCTCTGGCTTGGTGAAGGTTTGACATAAGGTATATTTTGGGTCTGGGCCACGTCACAACCAATGCCACCGCTAAGTCAGTAAGAGGAGCACTCCCACGCGTCGAACTGGAATCCATACCAAGGCGTTTCTCGGCACGTCCTATCCCGAAAAGCTTGGGAAGACGTCGTATGGCACCGTCCCTCGCATCCCGGGACTACGATTGTACAAAGGTACCATCTCGTCCCTCGAGGATCGGTTGCTACGTCAAACTCACGCATGATCGACCCTCATACAGTAGTATAAATACTCTGGTCGGCATCCGGCTCATGAGAGGAGAGAAAGACAAATAAAAACCCCCACTAAACACTGACTTGATCGTCGGAGGAGCCAAAGTTGATAACCAACCGACGAGAGCCTTCTGTGCAAGAAAGTGACCACCACAGAGTCATAATCATCATCCCGATCAAGAGACGCCAACTAACACTCCGTTGCCAGCACCCGGTCCTGAGGGCGTGACCGACTTCGACAACCAACAAAGTCGACCGCAGACTCCCGACATCAACCCGTGGATCATATCGTGCTGACACATTAGTCACAACAAATTAGTTCATCAACAATAGCTTTCAACTCTAGTAAAGGAAAAGGACAACAACAACTGTTTCAAGAAGAAGCTCTCTCCTACTCAAATAGTGTGTATGTGCATTCTTTGTTGTGATATTTAACTTGTATTAGATATAGTGTTGGACTTGGGCAGATCATCTACGGTCTGCCGTCCGTCGCATGTCATCTCGATCGTTCAGATTCTCGAGTCGGAGTGCTTCTGAAAGACTTACGACAAGACGAGTTTCCTTTTCTGACAACCCGAATCTTAATCTTGTAATCTTCTTCATCCACGTCAATCCCGGAAGCATTCACATACATCGACCGCAGATTTATCAGCCATATCGCTTAATCCAGTGGATCATATGATTCGAGATTTAATTTGTGCATATGATCCGCTTACAATTTCTTGTTGTATGATTCCTATGAATCGTGCATGATGCAACTAAAGTTCTATACCGAGACAATGATTTCCTGAACTACTGCTGCTCGAGTAGGAAAAGGCCACAGTGCATGCAAAGCAAACAGAAACACAGTTCCCTGCTTATACGGCCATGGCGGCCGGACACGAAGAGTCCCCTCACCGCTGCGGCCACGCCGGAGGAGAATGCTGTCAGCTTCACTATATAATAATAATAATTAATATTATTATTACTATAATTGTGGTTAATCGGAAGAACTCAAACTCTGCTTTCGCAATCCAAGTATATATAATTGTCATTGGAGGATAAAGTATAACTGTTGTTTATAATTTTCTTACCATAAGTTCTTCCATCCCAGTAAATCTTTTCAGCTTTCTCTATTTATTTTAATCTAAATTTTAATCTTTTTATTTCATCATAAGCTTAATTATTTGAATTAATCTTATCACACCTTCTTAATTCAAAATAATTATAATTTAAAGTTATATTCAGAAAAAATAAAAAAAAAATCGCTAAACTTTTGTAAAAATATCGATAAATTAATCTTCGGTGTTGTAATAATCCATTTGAAATTTTCTTTTATCAATCAGTTCACGAATGAAATGACGTGGAACTTCAATATGTTTGATACACTTATGAAAGACATGATTCTTCGCCATTACAATAATAGACTTATTATGATAGTAAGTTTTAGT